AATACTTAGCCTTGAAATATGGATGAAAACAGTAGAGATGACAATTCCGGGAATTATTTTTCCGGGCACATCGATGATAAGATCAAAAAGCAAGAAGTAAAATTGTATAAAGTTTTGTATAGAATAAAGTGTAAGTTTTGCCACAAAATTCGTGTCCTCTACAATGATAACTGAGCTCACTATTTATAGTTATCTCTAGGGAATGATGTCCTAGGATCATGTTCTCCTTAAATATCAATTATGAGGGTCACTGATGAATACGCAACGGTGAACATAAAAGTCAAATTCTCTGTAACGGACCGTCATTGTTAATGCTGCAGAATATTTCCTATTAAATCTTACCGGGCGCAGAGCATTTAATACGTCTTTATGAACGTTATCTTTTCGTGACAAGAAAAATAACTGCGTTCGATTTTCGATTATCCATGTCTTAGGTTTCATGTGTCCTCCCTTTAGACGAACATAACATGTGTCATATCATATTTTACCATATTCTCTCATTTTCCACAAAAAGGCTCCATGGTAAAAGAGAGACGACCACTTAAGCACTGACCGGAAAAGATTCATTCAGCTATTCCCTTCTCTTTCCTAACCCATTTCCCTGCATTTTAATCTCTCCAAACTCCTCATAAAACATCATAAAATCAGTTAAGATAGAACCATTAACAGAAAAGGCAACAGTGAAAGGACTAATAGAGCTTCCGCCAGAAATACTTCTCCGGCAACTGATGCTCTTTTTTTCTCTCATCCCAATATCTCTCAAAACCCTCAGTTTAGAAATTCCCAGTCAAAAACAACTTTCAATTCACGATAAAACACCCATCAATGCCAAATTTGAAGCTCCACAAAATAAATTGAATGCAACCTTTAGATTAGAGCAACTAAATTTCCTCCTTTAAAATATTCCTCCGGTAAAGATTTATTTTAGCTTTTAGTAGAAAAAAAGGAGATAAAGCAAACAAAATAGTTGATGCTCCAGGTTGACTGTGACGGAAATTTGGAGAATGGACTTTGATGCATAATTGGGCCAGGGGCGGCCGGACCAGTTCCAAATTTTAAGAGGGCCTTAATTTTTTTATTAATAAAAAATATTTTATTTTTATTTGAAGTCTATTTTTTTAACTTTTTTTAGATGTAAATTTATTATTAATTTTTTATAATCTCTTTCTCCAAATAAGTCTTTTTCAATTAACAATATAGTTAATTCATTTAATATCTTTGAGACATTGTTGATCTTATGTAAGGTTTTATTAATTTTAATTTTGAAACACTTTTTTTCCGGTGAAGCAACGGTTATAGGAGTTATTAACATTATTCTATAAGTAATATAGGCATTTGGAAAATAATCAAACATTTTTATTTGATTGAGTATATCAATTAAATTGTTATCTTCTAATTGTACTATTTTTCTTAATATTTTTTATTTAGAAAATAAATCTAAACTATCAATATCGGGTTGATTATCATGATTTAAGGAGCATTCAAGATGAAGGCGATATTTTTTCAAATTTCCATCAACTAGTGATCTCAGTTTTTACCGCTAAATATATAATCAAAAATATTTTTATATGCCTCTAATTGTTCAAATCTATTTTAAAATAAAAAAATAACCATATCTACTATTCTCTCCAGTCCATAATAAGTGATTTTTTGGCTTTTATTTTGTTCCAAATTAAGTGTCCTTTTATATAATCGAGAAAGAATTAACTTTATTTTTTCAAAATTTGCCCCAATTTACATATCTCAATGTGTCAAGTTAACAACATATAAATTTTAATAAGGATAATTCGGTCAAAATATATTTTTGTTCTAGGGGTCAGTATTTTCTTAAGGGGCACATCAAAGGTTAAAAAGTCATTTATTATGGACCAGAGGGAGTATGTATAAAAAGTAATCAATTCTAAAGGACACTTCGAGAGATTTTGAGATTTCACTATTCACATTCTTCTCAAATTGTTTCTTCCTATATATTACACGTTTCTTATGAAATTCGGGTTCGATATTAAGTTCAAATGCAATTTCCTTGGCAGAAACCAAAACAGTTACAAATCCTTCATCTCTTTATTTGTTAAATAAAGAAATCAAATTTTTTCACTTCACATAACTTTTTTTAAAAAAAAATTATATATAGCATATTAGGTGTAAAAAACAAAATGGGGCCTCCACAAATGTGGGGCCTAAAGCAGTTGCTTTACTTGTTTTATGGACGGGCCGCCCCTGAATTGGGCAATGGAGGTTTAACTAAGGAAGAGAAAGAAGAAAGAAAAAGAAAGAAAAACGAACAAGAAAAAGTCAAAGCAAAATGAAAAAATAATTAGATATGGGATAGTTTTTTTGTTCTCGCGCGCTATGATTGAGTACAAAATATTATACTGGCACAACTCAAAAGGTGATACTTATTACAGTTTAAACAAAGATAATAGGGTTATACGATCCCATAAAGTATAAGGGTGCATCAGAGATAACCCAAAGGGCTAATTATATATTATCCCATTATATAAGCTAAATACAATATGTTGCGCTTTATACATGTGCAAATTTCCCGTTTAAGAATGCATCCTCATCCTCTTTCATGGAAGATTTGGAATTATTTTGTGGTTTTTGAAAAGTTATTTTATGTTGAAATTAAGGATGGCAAGTGGGCCGGTCCAGGCCCGGGACCGGTCCGAGACCGCAGACCAAACAATCTTCTAGGCCTGAACCGGTTAGAATCGACTAAGTGGGCCTGGTCCGGTCTTCTGGGCCGGTTCTTCACTTTAGGACCGCTAGTCCCGGGACCATTTAGGACCGGGACCGGAATGGTCTTGGCGGGCCCAAACGGTCCCAACGGTCAAAAAACAAATTAAAAAAAAATTTGGTCGTTTAGGCATTTAAAAAATAGTTGTTGGGTCTGCCAAAATAG